ATATATATATATATATATATATATGTTGAATATTGTTTTTGAACTGAAAATAAGGAACATCACTGTTGAATTGAATTGTCAAATAGCATATCTAATAATTTTTTTTGTGTAAACCCATGTTAAGCTTTCTTTATTGCTAATCCTACAAGGGGATATTCTTCTATAGTTATAAAAACAATGTTTTTGTAGTAATGCTCATATTTCTATTTTATTTACTAATTTGTTACTCTTTTCTTTTTCTTCAGATTTGGTGTTACAGCTGAAAGTAAGTTTATAAGATTTTTTACTTTATATGTGTGTATCATATTTATAATCAAATACTTAGACAAAATAAACTGCAACATTTTCTTATATGCTTGTCTGTGAATGTTTAAAAGTGACTTTTTTTTTCTTCTGAGTTCTGATATACATTACATATTAATGCTATTTGTTCAGCATTTGTATGATAGGTTTTTTTATTCAATCTTGATTTGTCAGTTTTTCACTCTGTTTCATCTGCTCTCTATTTTCTTTTATTTGAAGTTTAGTAGAAAACAACTTGAAATACTTTCCAAAAAAGCACAAAAGGATGAGAGAGTTGAAAAGGCCAAAGTTAAGAAGGTTTGTTCCTGTTTAAGAAAAACTTTGCACAAGAAGTTTCTTAACACATGTAATTTGTCAAGTGTTATAACTCCAATTCATATTTTAATGGGAGTTAACTTTTTTTTAATTATGATGAAATCATTCTAGTAAGCATTCGGCATGGAAATTAGTTACTGAATTTAAATAATCTTTAAGTACAGAAACTAATTTTGGGATATAAGTCCTTTTATTCCAGTTTTTTTCTGATGTCTGTATTAAGAGGTGAATGTTGTCTTCATTAGGGTTTTAATGTAGTTGACTAAAATGTTCAAATATTTTAGATATGTCTTAATTTCCTGTATGATGAAAGAATTGGTAAAAATGTGTAACTAAAAAAAATTAAGTAAGTTTCAAAAGATTCAGAAACTCAAATGATTTTGAATTATCGACTGTTGTTCTTCTGAAGTGTTCATGTTCAAGCAGGTACTTTCACTTAACCACATTACAGTGGCATGTAAGCTTCATTGAGCCTTTCTTGGCCATTTTTATTGACAGAACACATGAAGAATGTGGTGAAAACAGCTCTATAGAGCTGAGAAACCAAATCTTGTATTGCACAAAATATGGAGCCACTACCATGTGTTGTGTTGGAATTAGGATCGGGGTATAGGTTTTTACTTCCTTGTAGCTTGGAAACTAGCACAAAGTTGACCACACTGGTGGGCAATTCAGATTCCAGGTATTGCAGTGAGCTCAAATTTCTTTTCAGTATTAATAATAGAGAGTTCTAGAACATACAAACTGGGTATTAAAATTAAAGGATTTGGATAGTATACCTTTAAGTTTATTAATCCATATAAAAATGTTTTTCATCAAGACATTCATCAGTTTCCCAATAAGCTTTAAGTCCTGTTTTTCAACATTTTCAGCAAAATAGTTGGTTGTTTACCAGAATTACCATTTACTTGAAAACTTTTACGAAATGTAAAAATTGACATTAAAGTTAAAAGAAACAACAATTATTAACAAAAGAACAATCATTAGCATAGATTATTAACTGTAGTGACATACACATGTAAAAATCTCATAACACGTATTATGTACATAACTTCACTCAAATAATTCGTTTTCTAAGTATTGTCTTACAAATTCGCATATAAAACTCATAAGTATCCACACATTATGATGAACACACTGCTCAAGTGTTTTTCCATGGTGATAAGTTGAGGTTCCTCAATGCCTCAATGAGACTTTCAATTACGCAAGGCAGCTAACCTGTTCAGGAGATTGTATAGTTGTTAGAGACAAAAAAATAAGAATAATAAAAGAGCTTTCACTAAGTTCTTGAAACAAATTAATTTTTTTAACAAGACACATAACTCACATATACCTAAAATTTACATCTATAATTTGTTACCTCACTCTGCCAAAATTCCATCCATTACAAAGTTCATTTGTCTGGCTACTGCCAAAATTAAACTCTTTTACACTTTCTCTGATGTACATCGCATTTAATCTGGCTACTAGCTTAAACATTACACTTAGGAAATAGTGACAAGGTACCTTCTGGTGAGGTTATCTTCCTCAACAAGGGTCCTCTCAGCTACCGAGGAGGATGGAACAAATTTGGCTTCCTGCAGTTGATCAAGAATCTCCAATCCATTTTCTTCAGCTACTTGTTGGATTAGAACACCTACTTGTTCTTGTGGTGTAGCTGTTGTTATGGCACTTCCCATTACATCCTCCAGGACCTTACATACAAAAAAAATAAAAGATTTAATGCCAAATGTCTAAGACAGAAGTAATTTTCTCACCAGTTGGTTTTTATTATTTATCACATTACTTCAGCATTATATACAATGCAACTGCTACAATTTATTGAGAATTCAAAAGGGAGAAAGCAATGAATAGGTGCTTTGTATAACTAGTGTTATGGTTGCATTAAATCTTAACATGGGCTCGATCAATTTGACAGACCACGTGACCTCTTTGTACTTGTTTAAAGTCTTCACAGTCTTGATACTACTAACTTTAAATACAGTAGGTATATCTTCCAAAAATGTGGCAGACATTCAGTAACTATTATAAGTCTTTCAGATATAAAAAAATCATAATTTTTAGTGAAATATTGTTAATAAACTAAAGAAAAAATTTGTCCATGAATATAGTCTTTTTTTTTACCATTCTGAATGCAAGATGATTTTCATGTTAAGATCAAAAATACTTTTCATCTCGAATTTCATTTGCATAATCTCTAAAACCTCATAAATAGATTTCAAATGTTTTTTTTTAGTAAAACTTTATATTTTATCTGTTATTTTCTCTACCCTAACTCTACACAAGGTTTGTCAATTTGATCAAACTTGTAACCACTAAATAAATCTAAATTACTGTTCTTTCCTTTCTAGAATGACTTCAAATTGTAACATGAAACTACATTTGTTTATCCTAAGTAGCTTTAAACTCGTAACAGTATACATCTATTTATACTTAAATCTTATTGTTTTATTGCTCTTTGAACAGTGTCTAACTACTATTCTTGCTACTGTAAGTTTTATATCACTTTGAGAATCTAGAGCTCACCTTACACTATCGAATTACATTATCCATGAGGTTGTGTGCCTCATGAAACATTTTTATTATATTATTATTATTAGTCATTTTACCTAGTCTAACCTTAAATGATCTAAAAAGATCCCAATTTTTACATTTTAGTTACTTTTATAATAATAAATAAAGAATAAATATGAAAAACAAGAAATCAAATACTTACCTGGGTTTTCTTTTTGATTGCTGTTGACTTTCAATGACAATTAACCCTACCTTGTTTACATTATTGGTACTAATACACTAAATAATTTTTATTTGATTAAATAATGCACAAAGAACTGGTTGGTGAATAAAATAGAAAAGAGGGGATGCCTAGAGAAAATATGTCACATTTCCCTACTAGGGGAAATTCAGAATTTTTTTTAAATATTGTCTTATAAAATTAAGAACTTAACACTTATATACGATTTTATGTTATAATAATTGGTATAACAAACAAAAAGTAGTTTAATTAAAATTTGAATGTAAGTCACTAAAACCTCCTGACATGCACAGTAAAGGATGCCCGTGCAGAAAGAGCTAATTGTATCTGATTGCATAACTTATTTTGAAAATTATGACACAGAGCTAGTAAGTTACTATGCTAACCTCTTGTGATATTTACTTACAGATGTCCTCACATCCAAGTCTTCAAACTGGTTTTCAAATTTCTCCATCACAGATGAAACCTCAAATATATGAAGAAGAAAAAAAATTATCATAAATAATACATAATACAAGCTTTTCCTTCACATCACAAAGACAAATGTAAAAAATTATAAGTGCACTCAGAATTAGTATCAGCCGGACTACTTCAAAAATTAGTTATCAAAACAAGCACACAGAAAATAAACTTTAAAGTCATTTGTTTAAGGTAGAAATCCTTAAATTCCTTTGGATAGTAATTTTTAACATTTCTCAGATCCTAGAAACTTCAGGTAAATTTATTTGTCATGTTTAATTATATACACCATATATGTTAATATACTAAAGTTTGAGGAAACAGTTTTCAGCTAAATTCAGTAATTATTAAATCATTTGCAAGAAGCAGGTTCTTAATCATGATACATGTTTCAGACCCTTCTAGCAATAGTTACTATAGAATAATAGTATTAAATACTAGACATACGCAGTGTCTCTGCTCCTGTTAAAGAAACTGGTGTTAAAAGCACCGAGACATGAACAGTGATTAAAAACTATATTTCAGAGAAAATTAACTTTCTTTGAGAAGAGAGAATTATCAGGTCACACAAGGTCCACATTATAATAAATAAGAGTAACAACTATATATTGCTTTTATACTCATATAAAAGACAACACTTTGTTACAGTATTGTGTATTCTTCTATATTAATTTTAACAAGTCCTAAAAAAATTAACATAATACACACAACATAAAGAATGTTTTTATAGCAATGCTAATGGATCACTTGATCTTGCTTGATTTCTGCTATGATTCTACACAGCGTTACCACCTGATCATCTGATTTAGAGCTCTACAGATGGTTCTACAGAGTGTTACCAACTGATCTTCTGTCTCAATGTCACATACAGCTCTACAGATATTCTACACAATGTTACCAACTGATCATCTGACATAATGTCACATACAGCTCTAAAGATAGTTCTATATAGTGTTACCCACTGATTATCTGACTTTAGTTCACATAGATTTCCCAGATATTTTTACGTAGTAACAGACTATCTAACTTGCTGGTAAGAAACCCCCGCCAAGAATGGTAGTGTATCAATGTTGGATGAAGCACTAATCCAGTACATTTTTGTGTAATTAAAATAAGTACATGTTATTGTAAGATAAACTTAAATCACGGGTATAGTATTTTCTAGTGTTAAACTTCTACCATTAAAATGCCTTATTCGAAAATATCAAAATCATTGTATGTTTAAAATCATAACTTACAAACATACACAAATATATCTATATATGTATATCATTTATGTTGTACAAGTGCTATTTAAGCTACAGTTAATATATCAATGGTAATTTTTATGACTCAGACATGCCCACTGGTTATATAAACTTAAATGATAAGTGGTTGGTAATTATAAACAAACTAAATGCCTAAAATGCAGCCTACATGTGCTTGTACAATCCAAAGGTACAAAATTTATTAGGATTTAGTTAGTAGTCCAGCTAAAAACATTTTAACACTACACCACTGACTAGGGATTATTTTCTTGTGGCATGCACTTCCTGATGCACAAAACACTTATTAGCTTTCACACTTCTAGTAACTTAGTCCATTTTTATATTTATAGTACGAGGAATATACTTAAAAAAAACTGAAATGAAAACATATGAACAATTACAAAATAAGTAGCTCTGTACAGTTAAAATGACAAATAGAAGTCTTTACCTTCTGTAAGTCCATTGAATTTATAGCTTTGTCTAGTGCCTTCACTACACCGCCCATGTTTTTGGTCACCTAAAAATGAATTATTATAAATATAACTCCTAATATTTGGCTTCCTCATTACCACCAAGCAAGACATGCTTGATATACGAAACATATTTTTCACTTGATGACAAATATTTCAACATAAATAACTGAGTATATAAGTTTTTATCAGCTAGTTAGATCAATGGTAGCAAGTTTCCAAATTAGTTTTAAGTATATCTAAGTATGGGAAACATCTATGAAAGATTATAAAGTTGTGTGTATAAACAAATTTACACAAACAAGAGATATTATCAACATTTATTAACAAGTTATCTTAAAGGAATGACAAATTATAATAAAGTTTGAGAAATCTGAATTGCACAACACTGTGTTAATGGTGAAACATTCTGCAAACAATACTTGATAAAAACCTAATTTCGTACGCAAGTTTCTTAATCAAAATTATATGTATTTCAGAGTTTGAACTAACTTTCTTTGCTAATGACACTTCAAAAATTACTCACAGAAGTTTCAGCCACACTAGCTAGTAAAAAATAAAAAATGAGGAGAAGGGGGAATTGAAAAGTTTTGTGTCCTCAGTAAAAATAACTACTCAGTTAATGTTAATTTGCAGGAAACAGTATGTTTTTTTTATATTTCTTTACACATGATAAAATTTTAGACCTATGTTTATGATAATAATAATTACATTTCCTAACAGAAAATGAAAAAATACACATATACATGCATATATATCTAGAAAAGCAATAAGAAAGCACACCCACACCCAGCATAACTTTTTACTTTGCCGTAGCCAAACTAAGTTATACATAAAATTCCTAACCCTAAAAAATCCTTATTTTATCTCAATTTTTAACTGTGTTTCAAAATCCCCATTTGCTACAATTATAATAAAAGTGGTTAACCTTCAAATTTTGAGTTATTGTGACCTTAATGCTTGGCTTACTGGTCCTTGGGGGGCATTCAACCTCTGTAGTCAGTTTGATCAAAAACAGATAAAAATTGAGTTATACTGTTCACAAACAAAAAGTGAAAACAATATCTCCCTCATTGGGCAGTGGAAATAAAAAAAATTGAGCCACAGCTGAATAAAGTTTAATGACCAACTATCGAAGTGTGTGTTTTTCCTACAAATGTTGCACTTTCAGCCAGCTGTTGTTGTTTCAAAATCATTTTGGCCATTGTTTACAACTGATCTGAATGATCATAGCCATGTCTGGATTATCAACTGGTAAAACAATGCCGGTGCCCCTTGATGATCACTGGCTAAATAATGAACCCATTGGCTTTTTTTTTTTGCAATATATTACAAATTTTCAGCCCTGCCATTGTAAACCAAAAAGAGCAGTCCTGTCACAAAAAAACATCCCAATACCTTAGTAAAAGAATTAGCAAAAGAATTACGTTCCGAGAACAGATAAGCCTTCTTGATGGCAAAATCAGATACTACAAAAAATGACCATATAAAACTCATTATTGCAAGTAAAACACTGTATTTATAACCATAAATCACTGCCTTGATGCTGGAACTTTGCTACGCATAATTAACCCCTTGTCTTACCTTGTTGTCATACATATTTGAAAAGTTGTTATTAATCAATTTAAGTGTATATAAACCATTATTTAAACGTACTGTTTTGTACTCATACATACAATAAAATGTTTTGCATTATGTATTATGAGTTGCTCATTATTCATAAAAAATAATACAAGTGGGTCAAAATTTTAAGAAAAATAATAAGGCAATGGATTAAGTGTAAGGTGGTTATTGGGCAAGGTCATACATAGTATTTATGTCTTAGAACACTTAAATAATAATTGTTGATGAAATTATTTACTCACAATATTGTTACAACATTGAAAGTCACGTGATGCTGGAAGCATGCGCGCTGGAGTTTCTAGAAGGATCATGACTGTTCCTGGCAACTCTAGTCTTATCTAAGCGCCCTCTATTTTAGTATATAAGCCTGGCAAATAAAGCAGAGATAATAATTGCAGATAGCAGATTGAAGAGAGATATAGAGACAGATAATTGAGTCAAGTGAGCAGTAGTAACCGTAAGTAAAGTGCATGAATCGTTGTGAATTATAGCGTGTGTTTAAGTTAAAGTGACTGTGGAAATTCTGTGTATTGCAAAGTTGTATTGAGAAAGAATAAACTAGTTTTATTTAAAGAAAGGAATTGTATCGCTGAAGTTCCTCGAGAAGAATTTATACCGGAAATTAACAAACGACCAGAGACATAACAATATTATGCTAGATGTTGATAGAGAAATGTATAATAGATACTATTCCTTAGTAACAGTATTATTTTCTTTTAGGTGGTTTAATAGTCAAATACATAGGATACTTCAAAGTTTTATTGGCAATTTTACTTAATAAATGTTTCAACAGCAAGAAAGATAAAATGATCTGGGCCATTATTAAGAGAAATATATAAACAGAAACAAAGTCAATACAAGGGTTTTATAAAAGTCAAACCAGGTGTTGTTTGGCTATGAAAATTCAACTTTTTTTGATAAGACAAACCTACACACATAGAATGGACTGAGGACAAATTTGAAGGATACAGTATCAAAATTACAAAAGCATAAATCAAGTTCAACACTTCAAATCAAGATCATAGCTCTAACACTGTAGTGCTATAAAAATTGTGTGTAAATAAAAGTGACTTATCATACAATAAACATGCCCAATTTTAATGTATATTTACATATAATAATTAAATTATTATTTATTACTTTCTAACTTCCACACTAGAACTTACACTTTTCATCATGACAGCACTATGGACCTTAGATGACACAGCATCAATCTTGGATGCCATTCGTAAGTAATTCAAACTCTCATGCTTCTTCCGAATACCATTCTCTGCATAAATCTTAGCACTTTCAATATTCCCTTGTTGAAGAGCCTAAAATAAGATCAACTAGCTAAAAAACAAGAGTATTTTATGACAACTTTATGTTACAAGACATACACTGTACTGTCACTTTAGATTCAAAATTGTGCTTGGGTGCAGTGTTAATTTCATCAATAACAATGTTGGTTAAATTATTCATTAACAAACTCATTTTAAATTTAGTGAATAATGATGATGATAAGATGAAAATCATTAGGCATTCTAGGAGAAGAGTAAAAAAAATGTGCCTGGAATGACGGAGACAGATAAAAAATTATCGTCTAAAGTCTAAGTATACTAATTGCACTCTGATCTTCTTTCATTCTTTGTGATAGTATCATTATTTATGTTGGAAAGGTTGTTTTTAATGTATTAATAAATTATAAAAAGTTACATTAGCCCATTTGTTACAGTTAAAAAATATGTAAGTATGAACTTAGGATTGACAATAGGCTAGGGAAAAACGATTATAAGGGATGATCATTCGTACATTTTATTAAATTCACTATAAATGTGAATTTGTATAAACAACAACAACAAAAAACAAGTAATTTCTGTTAAATTTAAAATGTTCATATCAAATAATCCAAATTCCACAAGGTATTTATTGAGGATGGCGTACAGTTACACGACCGATCATCATTTCTAGTGAAATGTTTACATCGATTCCATGTAAACTGATGCACCAAACCGTTTCAATTGATCGGTTCTGAGAATATGTCATATTACCTACATAAGAAGCAGTTGTATTAAATTTCACTTGTAAACATACACACACAAACATATAAATTGTTATATAACTTTGTGTATTTATAAAATTTCAGATTTCATACATTTACATCTTTCTCCTATTTCATCTAACTAAGATAAAGGTTAACACTATAATTGTTCTGAAGTTTGCATTATTTTCAATAGGCTGTTGTTTTTTTTTTCATCTATCTCTTTATAGCACATTCCAGCCGCACTTTGCTCCTCACTCTCAGTCAAACGTTATACAACAGATTTCTGCTACAACGTTTGGTAGACTTGAATACGAAGATAGAAGATTTTATCCTGAAAACATTTTCAGGCTAAAAAAGTAGTTATTAAAATAAATCTGAACAATGAGTTTTAAATTATATAAAAAAAATCTAAAACATGTTATTTCCAAGTAGCCTTGTTATAAAATATTTGGCTTCAATTTTTTTTTTTCAAAAATCTAGGTGTACTGGATTGGCCCTATCCTTGGTGGCGTGATAGCAGCACTGCTGTACCAGTTCATCTTCTCGGCACCAACGCCACCTAGTGAAGAATCTGAATATGCGGAAAAAGTGGAATTACGAGAGAAACAAGAGACACCTTCGGTTTAAGAATCCAGTTAATACATTTTTTTGTTGTTCGACATAAAGCTTCTAGTTTTTCAATAATTTGTTCAACCACTTCATAATTAGACTTCGCTTCCTAATAGCTGGATATACTTTGTGGAGTATTATACAAAAATGTACCGGCAAGTACAAGTAATAATCATAGTCGTGTAGAAAGATACTTTTGTATACAAAGTAGTATTTTTTAGGTTTAACAGAAATTCCTGTGTATTACGGAAGAGTATTTTAAAAATAACCATGCGTTACTTACTCATCATTAAACCTACCAGATTAATTACATTCGGATACTCGTATCTAACAATGGACTAAAACGTGTCAAATACTCAAGACCTTAGAGAAATTTAATGCTTATTACAAAAACATATAATCATAAGTTAGATTTAATCTCAACTACCTTCTTAAGTCATCCAGCAGAAGCATCTAAGTATATGCACAACACACTGGATCACTGAAGTCCAAAAGGTACCGAATTAATCAACATTTGTCACATCCAATAAAATTTTATTTTAACAAAAAGTAAATTTTTACATCGTATTCCTATTTGAAAATTCATAGCTAATAGTGTGTACAAATTCGTTTGGAAAGTCATCAGCATTTATAATTTTGAAACAAGTTAAAAATTTCCTACAAAACTAATTGAGGCCAAAGTTTAGTAAGTAATATAGTAAAGGACAGAACCATGAATGTTGCTATTCTTTTGAGATTTCTTTTAAGTTTTAAATTTTTTTTGTATAAAACACCTATGTTTCATGGAAATAATTTTTTCGTGTTTTTCAACATGACTGATTTATTGTCTTTAAACCAGTGTTTAACTCCAATGTAATCACAATGTGTTTAAAGTGAATAAAAATGAACTTACTTTACCATGAAATAAAAATAATGATGCAATATTTGTTTAGGCAAAAACATCCAGTCCTCTCTCCTGTACATTATAATTTATTAAAACATGTGTATGGAACACTTCAAGTGAAATTTTATATGAATCTTCAAAACTTGTCAGATATATGTTTAGGTATTATATAAAAACTTAGGTCGTCAAGCAATTTATGTCGCTTTTTTTAGATGAAAAAATCCGAACAACATATATATCAAAATAAAATATTTATTAAACAAAATAGTCTCCATTCTTATCGATGATGATTTTCCATCTTACAATCAGGTTGTTAATGCCCTGATTAAAGAAATCATTTGGCTTTGAAGACAAAAAAACATGTCGATGTCA